TAAAACTAACAAGTAGGATGATTATATTAAATATAAAAAAGATTTCTATTAAGATTTTAAAAAATTTGTTATTTATTGATTTAAGATATAAAGAATCTTTAAATATAATTGATCTTTTAATTTATAAAGGTAAATTTTTTATAAAAAATCTTGATTTGTAATTGTAAATTAAGATTAATCTTTTAATATATTTAGTTAAGAAATTGAGCTATTATTTTTTTTTGAATAAATAAAACTCTTGATATAATCTTTTAGATTAAATATTCAAATAAGATTGAAGGAAATTAGGGAGATATAGTATAATAATGTAACTAAGGAATAGTTGGTAAATAAAAATAAATTCTAATATAAAGGGATAGTAGTATTATAATAGAATATAAGATTCTTATATTAATTAATTATAGAAAAATGATTAATATAAAAAATATATCTTATATTAATATTAATATTATACTTTATATTATTAATTTTTTTTTTATAATTACTTTTAATATAATCTAGTTTTTTGTAATAAAGATAGAAGCTGAGTTCGATATATTGTTTTTGAGTATAACAAATTGGGAAGTATTAATCTGGTTGAGTAGTATTCAATTGTATAGGATTATTAAAGAGATTAGATATAGGAGGAGGTGTAGTAGTAATTAGCTTTTTATTATAAGGTTTTAATTAATTATAATTAAAATTAATATTTTGGTTTTTTTATTAGTTATTAAAATAATTATAATTGAAGTTGATATTTTGGTTTTTTTGTTAATTATCGAAATAAGCTTTTTCCTTTAAGTTGTTATTAATGCTTTATTATTAAATTATTTATATTTTAATATTAGTAATAAAGGGTTTATTTATGCGGTTGATAAATATATCAATCAATTCTTGTAAAATTTTAAATTTAAGATTTGTAATCTATTATTTAATAATCTTTTTATATCTAATAATAAACTGTTTAAACTTGGTAATGAAATTATTAAATAGAATTTTCTTTATTTTATATTTACTATAGTTTATAAAAGCTTTATAGAAAAGATTAAAAGTTTGATATTATTTATTTAATTTATTTTAGATATTTATAATAATATATTATTTAAAAAACTAAAGATTAAAATCATATAGATTATTAATAATTATATTGAAATATATTTAATTATTTATATAAAAAAAACCAGAAAGCAGATTAATAAGAAATATAATTTTCTGAAATTCTAATTTATTTTTATAATTTATATTTAAGTAATGATTAATAGTATTATAAAATATAATATATTAATTTTAATATTTTATAATATTCTATTTATTATTATTAAACTTTTTAGAAGCAATAAGATATTTATAATAATATAAAGTTTATAAATTGTTTTAAATAATGATTTTCAATATACTAATTAATTTATTTAATTTATTAATTTTGATTTGAATATTAATAACTTGAATTTGGAATATATTTATATACAATTTAATTAATTTAAATATAACTTAAATAACTATAAAATATATAATATTTGAATTATTAAATAGATTTATAAATCAAAAGATATCGATTTTAATAAAATTAAGAATATGGTTTAAGAATAGGAATTAAGGGAATAAACTAAATATAGGTATTTAATTGACTATAATCGTAATTAAGATTCAGAATAACGATAATTAGAATATGTAATAGAATGGTAATAGATTCGATTGATTCAATTAGATTGGAATTTTGATAGATTTGAAATAAAAATAAAATTAAAATAACTTTTAAAGAAATAATACAAATTATCAAGATATAAGTAAAGATTTATATTATACTATAAGGGTAAAAGAGCTATAAAAGAATAAGGCTCTTTTATAAGAAATAGGGCACACTAATGGTGTATACCTGAGGTATGAAGGTAACGTAGTTGGTGTCGTAACAAGTATCTAATTATAATAAGTAGTATATTCCGTTTATATTAAGCCTAGCTAGCGAATAAATAAGTATTAATTTAAAGCAGTATTAGTAAATTAATTATATAGAGATACTATAGATAAATCTAATTATAAGGGCCTAAAAATTTTAAGGCTTAAATGCTTATATACAGGGGTTACTCGTATATATAGTTTCAGCCTTGATATTTAGTCTTGTTTTATACCTTTAGTCTTTATATTTTCAATAAATATATTATATGAATTTATGAATTCACTATATAATAGATTAAAGCTTAAGTCATTCCTATCAATTTTTATAAGAGTATTAGGAAAATTAAAATCATATACTCTTATATAAAGAAATGCCTATTTAAGTTAATTTCACCATATAAATTTTTGGGGAATCTAAAAAATATGCCCGTATAAAGGGGATGCCCGTATATCACGTGCCCGTATAGCCAGGTTCATCTGTATTATGTAGCTCCTTAAGCATACAAGCAACAAATCCGATCATAATCAATATAACCCTAGCTATACCTACTCGAGACTGAGCATTCAAGAACGACTCGAGAACCCTTTCTTTTGAATCGATCGGGCTTGAAATTGTCAAGAGACTACGTGCCCACAGCGCCATTTGGTCTGAACCAAAGGCTTGGTTCCAGTGTCAAAAATTGGGCAGCCGCGAGATATTGAACTGTTAGGAAACTCTTAAAGAGTGAGGGACGCTCGAAGGAAACTATCTAGGGATGTTACTATGATATATTGACCCATATGTCAGCTTAAGACAGGATTGGCATGCTGATGGTATGCTCTCAAGGCTTCGCTTGGTGTTTCGTTTTTCATGGGATAGGAAAATCTAGTGCACCTGTTGTAAGAAGTGCATATCATTCTTTCCACGTGCAAGCGAGAGTAAGCCGCTAGGAAAGATCAGTAAGGCCTTAGCGAAAGGCTTCTGCAATGTCCCAATAGTCAAAAATCATACCTATGGACCTATGGTGCAGTGCCTAAGTCCCCCAAGTTAGTTTTAAGCTCAGTAGAACAGTAGCAACAGAGTAAATTGACGATCAACTTGTTACCGTGTGTTATCTTACTAAAGGATCGGATTCGGAAGTAAGCATTATGAAGAACGTACCTCATCAACTGGTTGATTTTGCGGTCCAGGAAATTGAATACAAAGACCTTTGAAAACTCAGGTTTGTGATGATAGCTACAAATAGCACCGAGGGCAAGTTTGAACAGGTTAACCTGTTTTCACAAAAATATAGGATCTTCTGAATGAACGGAATGGAGGACGATCGTCTGCAGTTGCTTTCCAATTTCCGTAAGCATGATTCTGCAATTTTTATTCGATATACGAAACGTTGACATCTCAAGATTGAAATTAAACACCAAATTGCGGAATAATATTTGACCGAGAGTATTTGCCATCTTGGACGAGAACGAAGGAAGCTCAGATTATGACGTACATGTAAACGTCCTTTTGTGGGAGATTTGATCCGAATTTCGTAAAGCTACAAGTGCGATAGTCTTAACCCAACAACATACGAGAAACTATAGATGGTTGATGGTTTGCTTTGATTGCTGTTTGTGAGGGTAGGACCCTGAAGTGCGCTGTGGGTGGCGAGCATAGAGTATCGTGTCGTGCTATAATTTGATTGAAGAATCTTTCCACGCCAACACACCCTACTGTTGTACCGAAATTCACAAGAGGAAAATTAGTTCAATTCTATCGTACCGGTATTTGTGAATCGGGGTCTGTCTGGCATCGTATTTCAACAACAGTATCACACTAGATCAACGGTAGGGTTATCGTAGTATCGGCGTTGAAGGACCGCCCTACGCTACCGTGGCTGTACATATCTACCGAAAACGTGGTTTTCAATCAAGGTGGCTGGTTGTCACTGCCCCTCTCTTTCAAGCGATGCCAAGAACCTCGTGTATGAATTTTAAGCTTCTTTTTGGTGCTCATTGACTGATCGTCAGCCCCCAGAAAAATCAGATGGACGGCTAGGATGGCATGAAGTCAACAATTAAACTTTGTGTGTCCGGGTCGATGTCGTATATCATTGGCTTGAATCTTGTTCCTCGTGTCTAAGACTAGCACTAACATCAATCCGTCGAAGCTTCGGGCACCATCTTTAAACTCGAGCCTCGTTCCTGTGTGCCGATACGACGCATACGAGATATCAAGAATTTTCTTTCAGCATGACCCAGCTTGCTATTATCATAACCGAGGAACAACCCTCAAATTGGCTCTTTCTTAAGAAGGGATATGAATTCATTTTCACATTTGAGATGATTTATAATTGGGGAAATAGAGTTTTAACCTATTGAATTGCTCTTGCAGACAGTTCCAAGAAGAAACATTGTCTCATTCTTTAGATACCAAATTCTGATCCGGGTGTAGCATTTTGGTGCTCGGCATTTTCTATCCGTCGCGAGCTTAGGCATTCAGATCCCCACAAACATCTTTTTTCGTCAAGCCATTCGTACGAGAACCAAGACTTTTAGTAACATGATTGTGTACCAGGGCTCAGATCGTTCTTCATGACAATGACGTCTAGGGCCAGATATATTTTGAGCAGACCCCTGGGTTTGAGATCAGCGGACAAGCTAGACTCCCCGATTCCGAATCTAGCAAAATCGACTAACTAGTTTTGGAATGTCGGTCGTCGGTCATGTGAACTTTATTCAATCTCAAAATCCAAATCAGGTCATTTTCTTTGCTTAATATCTATTCTTGGTGTGAGGCTGCTTGGCCGGTATGACTTTGAAGGCAAGAATGTGTTGGCTAAAGCAATTCTCGAGAAACTATTGGAACCATTGAATAGGTACGAGTTATTGTGGGTGACCCCTCGGTAAATACTGGGGACAACATATTGATGTGTTAAGTGTGCCAAGCCATGTGAGATAGTGCAGTGGAATCAATGAATGTGTGGAACATAGATGAATCAAATTTGATATATAATGTGTCGAGTCCTTCCTCGAAACTCATGATATCAAACAATTAATTCATCATATACTTTACGATCACTTTTTAAAAATATCCACATCCGCATCCTCGATCCGACTCAACAACGCCCAATTAACAAGGAACAACACAATATCGAATCAAAATGCATTTCCAAGATATTGCATTCGCTCTCTTTGTAACTGGAGCATTCGCTGCACCAGCTGCGTTAAAATCTAGAGATGCATGCTCTGATGCCTGCAACACTGAGTACAACACCTGTCGAAGTGCTCCAGGTGCGAACCGATCCACTTGTGCTTCCAACTATGCATCATGTCTTGGATATTCCCCGTATGATAGCAATGGATCACTCGTCACCCCAACTGCTTGCTCCTCGTCAGTAGCATCAACTACAGCTTCATCCACTACATCATCCGCCACAGCTGATGCTTGCGTATCCCAATGTAACGCATCATACAACACCTGTCGAAGTGCTCCAGGTGCAAACCAATCCACTTGTGCTTCCAACTACGCATCATGCCTCGGATATTCCCCATATGATAGTAATGGATCACTTGTCACCCCAACTGCTTGCTCTTCAGTAGCATCATCAACCACTATTCAAGCTACTTCGTCTGCTACAAGTGACGCTTGTGTATCTAAATGCAACGACTCATACAACTCATGTCGATCTGCTCCAGATGCTAACAGAGCTACATGTGCATCTGAATATGCCACATGTCTTGGATATTTACCTTTTGACAACAGCGGATCCCTCGTCACTCCTACCGCATGCTCAAGCGGCGCCGTTTCTACAACAAATGCACCAAGTTCCACACAAGCCCCTCAGGCTTCCGGGACCCCTTCTCCAGATCAAACTTCAATTGTTGAGGGTGTCGAATGGACTATCAAGCAATTGATCAGATACTGTTCCGAAGATGGATCTGGATGCGATTACAACTTTGCCATCTCCTACAACGATGAGCGACCTGATGAGAGATGTACCGTCATTCGTATGCCAGGAAGTGGTGCTACTACCGAGTCTTGGTATGAAATTCCATGTACTACAGGATCTGTAAACACCATCTCTTGGGGAGTATCCGACCAATTTGGTGCTGAAAATGCATTTGCGGTTTTGACTGTCACCAACAACGAAGAAAAGACAAATGCCTATTTCGGTGTCGCGAACGTGAACGGAAACCCAGTCACTCCTTCAAGTCCAGCTGGATCCGGTAATTTTGGAGACATTGGTCCTGAGCCAGTTTATGTCTTCTAAGAGATCGGTTGCTTTGCTGTTTTTTTTGGTATTTGGAGATGAATTAATGAACGATGATATGCATGTCTTGGATCACTGTATAATAATACATTCCTTTATATATTTTTGTGAGCGGCGTTGGGATGACGAGAAATGAGGAACTACCTTGTATATAACACACTCATTAGACATAATTATTAGATATAATCAACAACTTTTTTTTGATGTAGCTAAACCCCCCCCCCTATCAAATTTTGTATTGATGACCAAACCCTCCATTGCGTATGTCTCTCTTTGCATCCCCTACCGAGATTTACGATAAACAAGGTATAATTAGACTTATCAGTATTTCACATTTCTGACTTTTTGCCAAAATGGCTATCTAATATCAAGCTGCAGCTTGCCAGACTACTTTCCACTCTCACGTTATCCGCCGCTCTTCATCTATTCGGGTAGCTCGAGCTTGAATGTCTGATATGAGATAATACGCATACCCGCTTACACACCCGATGGCACACTCGTTTAGACGCCTGGCTTGTAGCCGAGCTCGCTGCATCGAGTGCAACCATCCATTCAAATATCACAATAAAAGTTGGAGATTGTTGATTGTAATATTGCAGTCAATCGACTGGAAATTATCTCACGTTAAGGGAGTCTTTATAATCCTTCTAGAAGATCTAGTTGGGTTTAAATCCAGACCACAATTCATCAAGCTGGTTGCCATTCCTTGGCATTAAAAAGATCCTTATGAGAGGATCAAGAGAGCTTCCATCGACTTAGCCTTTGCATTTTGAGTGCAATGCAAATACCTGGAATTAAGCCAGTGAAAGCGCATTTTAGATAAATTATTATTCACCTTGAGTAAAGAGAAGTAAAGTTTGATTGAAGAGAATGCTTCGCCCGAGGAGATATATGAAATTGTGGAGAATCAACTTGGCAGATTATCAGTAAGAGTCAAATGGACATAGAAGCTCACATAGTCTTACCAAGATATCGTGTATAAAATGGAGCTTTGGTCGTCTATGCTCTTCTTTTCATGATCATTAATTACTCATTTTCCAATAATCTGAAACTAACCAATTATCATTCGAAAAATCAATATCCAAAGCATCAACGCCAAGCAGAATGAGATCTTCTGCTCATAGAACAGCTTTGTGCTCCACCTCCTCGGTAGGAATCTTGGAGGGCTTAGATGTTGCAATGGTTTGGATACATTTGGCATTTGCTTGATGTTGATCTCGCCGCCGGTGCCTGTAGTTTGTTTTCTGTCCTCAATTGGCTTCTGAAAATCTGCTGATAACGATGGACAGGAAATGTTGACCGAAACGTAAACGATCAAACACACTCCGTAAAATTAGCGGTGGAAACTGTGTTTTCTGGGAGTCGTCCTAGTTGTACTTAAAAGGGCTTCGAAATCTCAATTTTGAGCTCTAGGATCTCAAAATACTCAAGACCTAAGCGTTTAGACTTCCATCTTTTGTTCCATTATGTTCGAAATGTTTCATAGCAACATTGCAAACATTAGCTATGTTATTCGAATTAAGATTGCCCCAGATTACAGTCTAAAACTTATGTATCAATTGTGCTTTTCTCTTTATAGTGTCATCGTCAAATTGGATGATGACCTCTGCTCTCTTGGAGCCCTTGACTAGCTTCTTCAGTGTAGGCAATAGTATACTACAGTAAAACTGTGGCGCGTATTAGCATATTGATATTGCAGCTAGTACGTATAGAAAGGAGGTTATACTACTCTCGTACATATTCATATACCTAAAGAATACTAGCAATATACTGAAATACTGGAATCCAATACAAAACACATACATTCCTATCCTAATTAAACTAGAAATAAGGGATTCCCATTCAATTTGAAATAAGGAATGGAATTTTATTACCTAATATGAATAGGAATCCCTTTTTTCTAACCTAGTTTAAATAGGAATGAATATTTTATAATGAATTCCAGTATTTCAGTATATTGCTAATAGTATTGAATAAATAAATCATATTGAATATTTTCAGTAGTATTGAATTCTATACCATATACGGACGTATTTCGAAAAGAGTTGATATGCACCACTATAAACTAACCCGTATACGGATTACGGGAAATACTATTGCCTACACTGAGCTTCTTGAATTGTTTGGAATGAACTTGATTGCTGAAGTTGCAATAGCCGCAGTGATGTTAATCTATAGCCGTTCGTTACCTGGGATGAAGATGGTAGTTCTTCTTGGGAGTACAAGTACTTGTCGTGCTTCATATAGAGACAAAGACATTTCTGTTTGCACAGGTAATCTGGGAAAGTCTGACTTCGGCTTTGTTGTGTCCTTTGTTGTGCCGGCCCCACCGTCTTCTATTTAACTGTATTGTAATATTCGAAGTCTTTTTTCGTGGCTGGAAGGAAGTCACTAGACTCGGTGTAGTTCCAAGCTGGTACAGTATAATTACTATTCTTAGTATATTTGCCAGAATCGATGATGAGGGTCTGGCAAACAACGAGAAATACGCCAAGACCAGTGGGTCTATCGCCGATGAACAAAAATATTGAACATTGCTGTCATTGTCGATTTTAGGGGTGAGTTTGGGACGCAGTGCGCAGGTTCGTGAGAATGAGAGTGGAGAAATGGTGAAAGACTAAGATGATCAAGATCTTTGAAACTTTGTGGAATGAAAACTGATTCAAAAAGAAAACTGTTGGGGCTTTCTATTCAAAATTGGTGTACTATCTAGGAAAGTCATTAGATCCACGATGCTCAGGTTGTGAATCGAGCATTGCTGTTTTGTAATCGCAACATATCTTCCTCCTCTTTATCCTCTTGTTAAGTAAGACTACGGGCATCTATTGATAGTGTGAAAGATCCGATCCGTCCTATATCTCTTCTGTGTATCTTGAATAGTTCTACCTCGCAACCTAGCCAGCAGTCAGTGAGCAATTCGACTCAGAAGATCGCAGAAAATGCCGTACTGTGCCACTGATGTGGGGTCTTCCCACAGCTTTGAGTGGTAAAATCACAAGAGATTCCTTCTTCGATATAACGATTCTACTCTTCAAGATGGAAGAATAACTTCAATAACTCGACAAGGATAAATAATTAAGTCTCTCAGTTAAGAGTGCTTGGGAATCAAGGAAGTGAGAAGTACGTATAAGAAGAGGTGAATAAAAGTTGAGATCGCCTACTGTGTTGCCAGGACCCTGAACACGGGCCAATCTACGATAGCTGTATGGAGTTTCCTTCTTTGGGTGCAGACCAACAGGTATCGATTTGATACTAGAGACAATCAATTTATCACCTCTCTGAAGGTCTTGAAGGATGTAGTAGTAGCTATAGAAGTTTTTGAGAAAAGAAAAGGACAATTCTTCCTTAGTCATATCCAGATCTTCTTACATTGGCAATCAACGAGGTTCATTATTGATGTCCCTTATCCTATGCAATGAGGGGTAAGCCAAGGCCAATATTATTGGACCGAGCACCACATCCCCTCATGTTTGATTTTGTGGATAGTGTACACTTTCCCATCCGATATCAATCGCAATAGCATTTGGCAAAGATAATGAATTACTCAAATATTCAGACCGACGACAATCTGTTCTCGACAAGATCATCTCTCCTCTGAAAGGTGCATCTTACAGGGAGAACAAAAAAGATCCTTGTTCCGCCCCCACGTCACTGAATTTATCCCCGCAAACCAGCCAATGAAGTATACCAACAGTTGTATCAACGAAACACTATTCGCCTAGCAATTTCCCAATTGACATCTCTCTACATGATAGCCTTGATACCATAAGAAAAGGTGAGAGTGGCTTCAGCAAGACGGAAAAACGGGTACATGAAACTCGATAAGATCGGAGCTCTATTGAAAAAGACTATACTTCGATGTTTGATAATCATACTTGAGAATATCTCAAAATTTATCAGAACTTCACCAGTATATGGATGTGTATTTCGGGTATTTCAATTCTCTAATTTGTTCAAAAATTGAAAATGATCAACGATCCAATCTAACGGAGAATTGTAAAAATAAAGGGGTCTTAAAATATGCTTGTCTTTCCGTCCTACCAAAGGATAAGTATGGAATGACTGGACGTAAACGAAGATCGAGAAGTGATGTGAAAGGAAGACTGAGAAATTAATAAAGATGTTATTAGTCAGTGAGTCAGTATCATATGTATCTCCAAGTAAGAATGAGTAGTACTGAGGGTTTGGGGTGGATGCATGGGTTGAGCAAGGCGCATTAGCTAGATACGAGTACACTTTCCTTGGTTCGTGTAATTATCATGAATGACTTATATACATACCTAGTAGGTACATACATCTTTGCATTTTTGATTCTTTTATCTTCATTATTTACAAAAAAAAAAGACATCGGACTTGATATCATGTCAAATGCTTTATATGCAAGGATTACGTCGCTGGCTGAATGCCATGCGCCAATCCAGCTTCACACGAGTCCAAATATTTCCTCCTCGGAAAACTTGAAGAATCCTGCACACAAATCAGAGAGTTCCTCGGAGGGATTGCTACGAGAAACCTCATTGCTTGAAGTTTCAAAATGGGGTTCTGGCTCCAAAACACCTATGCTGATGTTTTGTCTCTATACTATTGGTATATGATTCCTTGCTGTTGAAAAAGACGAGGGCTATCGCTAAAATATACCATCTAGCTTTGACCACAGCATTTGCTCACCTCGGCCTATTTTTATACTTGGATGGAAAACCCGCTGATGGAACAAATAGTGATGCCCCCAAGCAATCCTATGTATCAGCATCCTCGATAATTCTTGGGAATATTTTCACGCTTTCTCTTACTGGATCGGTGACAATTGTTTTTACTCAATATCTCTGGTATATTCTACGGACTACGACCCTAAAAGTTTCTACGATAGAGTCCATGTTTGCAATGCAAGCTAATCCCCTGCTACTACGCGATTTTAACGCTTGGCAGAAAGCTCCAATTCTGGTAGTTCTTGTGATACTCGTGTGGTTGATGAATGTCGCTGCCACTTTCGCGCCAGGGGC